CTAAATAATACAATTAGCAGTGGAATACTTTTTAATAATTTTGAAAATTTTGGTTTAACATTTTGTGATGCAGCAATATGTTCCTTTATCTTAAAGGCACAAATTAAGTACGTTTTTAATAGATTCCTACCCATAGCTGCTTGCTATGGTAAAGGTTAAAAATTTGAAATTTTCATCTTTTTGTAAAAGAAAAAAATTATTTAATGCCTAAATTTAACAACTATTTTATGGTCTTTGCTGTGAGTTAGCTTATGAAAATTCATGAGCTACAGAATATTGTCATAATCACACTTGATAACATTACAAAGTTTTGTAAAGATTTTACTACTTAAAGGTCTTGTTTCTATAAAATTAACTACATTAGTGTTATCCCCATGTTTCCCTCAGAATTATGCATATATCATTGTGACGACCAAGTGGAGTGAGCGCCAATATGTATATTAAGAATAAATTAAATATTTTTTTAAAATAAATAAGTAGAAAGAGAAGCTCTATTGTTTTCATCCTACATCCCAATACACCACTTTGGAACCCATTTCTTTATGTAATTAATTTAGAAAAAAGTTATATGAACAGGTTTTTAACTCAGTCACATTGGTAATGCAACAAGATCTCTATTTAAGGACTTAATTTAACATTAAGATATTGTTTTTTTGAAAATATGAAATTCTAAAAGAAACTTGATGCCAATGCCTTTTTTCCTTTGGACAGTTATGAAGGTTCTTTTCTGTAAAGCATAATTTGAAGTTTTATCTTTTAGGCTATAGTTAATTAGCATAAGTTGCTTAGAGGATGTTTTGGGAAAGGACAAGAAACAGGAAAGGCCACCTGCAGAGCACAATAATCAGAAGTTCTTACGTGGAGGTTTTAGCATTAACAGTTTTACAAAGAAAAGGCACATACTCTAGTGATTATTGATTGCCTCTTGGGGAAGGGCAGGAGGGGGTGCAAAAGAGAGCGGGGAACTTGAGAGAATTTAAGGGTTTGAACATCTGATTAAGAAGCACAATTAAAGGATCCAGTAAAGGAAATACATTTGTGCAGATGGCTGTGAAAGAAAAATGATTGTCTTTGCTGTCATGGGTCATAAATTCACTCTTTTTCTCACAAAAGAGATAATTGATGCTTCAAACATTATGGACCAAAAGTACAGCAGTGAACCCACAGTTAGTATTGAGTTCATATTGTTTTTTCTTAAATGTTACTGGAAGAATGGCTTTTAGGACAAAACAAAATTCCATTACCGATGATAAAAAAAACTATTTCAAAAGAGGGAACCAGGGTGATTGCTTCCTCCTTATGAACTGATCTGTTTTTTGCCTTCATGCAGTGTTCGTTTTCATCAAACCTTGTCGTTTTTTCAGAAAATGACAGGGATAAAATTAGAGAAAAAATCATCTGCTCTTTTAATTTATTTTAAAAATTTTATTTAAAAAATTTATTTTTTTAATAAAAAGGAAGAAGGAAGGAGAAGAAATCCTAGAACAATAGCATGTATGAGGGTAATGCTGTGATTTCAGTTTCTCCCAAAAGGTAATTATTTCCTTCCCTGTGCTCTCTTTATGCTCTTCCATGTTCTCTCTTTATGCTCTTCCACATCCCCTTCCTTGCTCAGCAAAGCACATTTTCCTTCTCTTGTTAAAGCAAAACCCTATCCTTCTAGTTTCCAGAGGAGTTTCGTAGTTGAATGTTCTTTGTTATTATTATCTTTATGTGAGATTGAGCAATATGATCTCCCAGAGCTTCAATTATTTTTGTAAAATGGGAGTTAATAATTTGTCCTTTTCACTATAAATCCTTGAAAGGTTGAAATAGGTAGCTTATCTCTTTCTACTTGTGGTATATATCATGATACATCACACATAATGGTAGCTCAATAAATATTGTCCTTTTCTGAATAACAGACTGGCAGTTGTTCCCCCAAATGGTCATTATTTCTTGAGCTAATATGTGTGAAATGACAATATATAAATATATTTTTATAAATTAAATCACAAAGGAATTTAATTATTCCCATTTTATATAAATCATATCTAGACACAAAGAAGATTCAAGACAAAACTGTATAATAACCATCAAAGCCGGAATGACTCATATTATGGATGAGGCACTTTGACTCTTATGTATTTTAACTCATTTATTCCTTAACACAAGGCTTCACCTTAAGTTTGTCCACACTGGACAACAGAACTTTAATTCCAATTATCATATATGTACAACCCTTTTAGAACACCTACATACAGCATATATAATAACAGGACATTTTTAATTCGTCTTTAATGCAAGCTTTCGTGGAGTTGCCGAAAGAGTTTGTTGATACTGATGTCTAAATCTACACTTGTAAGAAAGATTAAAATCAGCTCACTCTACAGATACAAAAACTATTATGAGTTTACACATCATTCCCCAGATCTCTTCCACCAGGAACTGATGGTAACTCTCAGTGTAACTAAGGGGTGTAGCCCAGTTAGATCCAGTTCTGCAGGTTTTATATTGTTCTTGTCCCATGCTGAGATGTCCACTTTTTGCTTGTAGATTTTTTTTTTTTTGAGTTAATTTTCTGATTAACCTGGGAAGTTACCATGGCAAGTTTTTACTCTGACCTGAGTTGTTGCATCCAGTGTTCTTGTGAAATGGAAGAGGGGTCACAAAAAAATCATTCAAACATTTTTGTCAGTGAGACTCTCTTCTTGTTTGGATCTTGAATTCAAAATGGCTTCCCCATGGAATAAGAGGCATCAAAGCCATAACACACTCTTGTTCTGTACCATAAAACGACAGCCTGTCCTCAAGTCTTATGGGACAGATAATCAGTGAAATCATGCTGTTTTGACTGCTGAAGACCAGTTTCTGATGGCTGCCAATGCCATGAGATCCTGTGTTCTGTGTCTGAATTATTCTGCAATAGATCTTTCCAGAGATATCACTCCCTCTTCTCTACCTTCCTACCACACTTATTCACTTGCCACTTATTCCCCTGCTATTCTTGCCTCAATACCCTCTCTTAGAGCATTATTAGATTTTATACACTTAGAACATTATTAAGTTAGTGTTTAATTATATTTTGTACCATGATCTTTCGTTTCAGATATACTAGAACATATACGCAAGCCACTTCATAAAGAGAATTCTTGCCTAAAGACTACTAAGTATCAAAGCTCCAAGAGAAGAGGTCATTTAGAAAACGGTTGGCCATGTGTTTCTTTGCATTGCTGGCAAAATAAGTTCCCTTTGAAATATTATGAATAAGTCATCATCTAGGCTACAGGCCAGCTTTAATATTTCTGTTCTCTGGAATGCCCCAGTGGAATGTTATACAAGCCCAGCAGATAGCAGGTGAGGCTTTCAGGGACAATGCCCCAAATAGCTTTCAGTGCTGCAGACTTCAACTTTGCTTCAAGTTGAACTGGCATCATGCCCAAGAAAAGCAAAGAGTTCATGGTTTAGGGGAGCAGCCCTGATCCAGATACCTAATATCAGACAATGTCTTTGCTGAGACATGAGCTCAAAATATGCTTTTGACATTGAGTATGCCACAATGTCTCTCTCTTTTTCTTTGCATCTATAATATCTATCAGTTATAGGAATGACAATGATAAATGACAATGAAAAAAGAATGACTAAGCAGTTGAGTGTATTAAACATTCATCTCCCGGAGCCACTAAGCTAATTATTTAGTCTCAGGTCATTCGGGTTAGGTTCACTCTCCCTCACAGTATATTTTCATCCCCAAGATATATTACTTCCTATTTGTCAAAATCAGTATAAGAAACAGTAGCATCAAGTTCCCAAGAATAATGTTCTTCAAAAAAAGGAAACCCACTATCCTTGCAAACTAATATATTATTCAGCCATCAGTATATCTACCTATACATCCATTCATTCACTTGTTCATTCACCCACTTATTTAACAGGAAGATTTTTTAATGCCAAATTAATTTCTAAGCACTCTGCTGGGTATTACGAGATATGGAGGTGAACAAGCCAGAGCCCTTTTCTGAGGGAGGGATTACAATCTTTTGGCTTAATAAGATTAAAAAAATCAAAGAATTACAGTAGGCAGCCCTACGGTAGGATTTTGCTCAAGACTATTTTAACATAGCAGAAGAGCACCTGATTGAATTAAGAAAACCAGGAAGTTTTCTTGAGGAAGTAGCACTTGAATTATGTCTTGAAGGATAAAATGAATAATCCAAGTGGATAGAGGGAAGTAGCAGTGCTCTATGCATATGCAACGCCCTACAAGCATAAAGTGAACATGACATATTCTGAGCTACATATGAATAGGGAGGTGGTGGTGGGATGATGTGTAGGTTGCATAAGCCAACTGTTGTATGACATTTTAAGAAACTTCTATTTGATTCTGAAGCCAGTGTTTATTCACTGAAGTATTTTAAGCAGTAGGCTTATGGATTTATTAGGGTCTGGTATGGGGAATTGATTAGAAGATTTGGGACAGTAGACAAGGAAATGAATCAGGAGGGCTTGGCACTAATGACCCCTTTACCTAATTAAGTCCTCTTCTTCCTATTAACCTATTTACTTTCTTCTCATCATAAATGGTCTTATCTTTTGCTAATCTACCTGAGATATTTTAGAGTAAATTTGATTAAAATATTTAAGATCATGTGTGCACAGCACTATGAGGAAGTAGAGGAATAAAAGATAAACATGGATATTTTCTCCTCTCAAGAAGCTTTTTATTAAATTGGAAACATTCAGGACCCAAGTATCTATACAGATAGGATGGAAGAAGAATGTTTATGAGAGAGATTGAAAAGAAGGAGAGATAATATCTATCTGAGACAGAGGGGGATTGTGAAAGGCTTCAAGAAGAAAATTATCAGAAGAAAATGACTAGAATTTCAATCAGTGAAACTAAGCAAGAGGAGAAGGAGAAATTTTAAAGAAAGAGATGTTATGCAGATCTTCTGGCATGCATCATGTAGTGTTTTTTTCCTTCTTTCTTTAGGGAACAGAGGGAATTAATGGATTGTGACCAGCTCTTTAGAATCTAACCAAGGTGGAGATGTCCTTCTGTAAGTTATTTGTATATTGTATAGTGACAAAATGAACAAAATATACTAAGACCCTGCTTTAATGTATTTAAGCAAATATTTATTTTTCTCCTTCTATGTCGCAGGTACTGTTTAAGGTCCTAGAAATATAATGGTGAGAAATACAAGCAAAATGTATGTCCTAAATATCTTACATTCTATATGGGGAAGACATATAATAAATTTAAACATTTAAAGAGATTAGGTTATTTCTGTAAATGTTAAATTCTATAAAGGAAATAAATCTGAGTAATGAGATAGACTCAGGTAGATAGGGCTTGGGCAGGCTGTCTGGATAGGTGATCATGAGGAACTTCTGAATAGTTTAACTTTTTAAAACTTTTTAATGAGGTATAAATATACACAAAAAAGTATAAAAAAATCACTAACCTTTTAGACATTGCTTTATATTTTGGGAGGGATATATTTTTACATGTTCACCATGTAGATCAAGATATGGACCATGTTTAGCACCACTGAATTTTCCCTCTGGCCCCTTCGCTAACAATACCCTGTTGTCAACTTCCTATTGAGTATTTTACATTTGAAATAAGAATAATGAAAAGAGATCAACCCTCTGAAAATCTGCAAGAAGGGTATTCCAGGCAAATTGAACAGCAAGTACAAATACTCAGGCAAAAATAAAAGCTTGATTGTTTAAGACACAAAATTAATGTCAAAGTAGCTATAACATAGTGAAACATAGAAAAATGGTGGAAGATTATATCAGAGAGTTATGCAGCAGGAAGGTTATGTAAGGCTTTTGCTTCCACAAAAGAATCTGGATTTTTCAGCTTCCAATGTAGAACCTGTTGAAGAGATATAAAAATGTGAAATATCATTGATTGTTGTAAACATTCATTCCAAAAATGTTCATACAGAAGGTATGTGGAGATTGAATTATGACAGTGGGCATGGAAGCTGGGAGCCCAATAATGAGTTTGTACTCAAGAAAATAGGTGATGGAGTCATGAATTTTGGTAGTAGCAGTGGAAATGGATAAGATTTGCTAGATTCAATAAAAATGTAATGAAATGAAGCAAAGTAATGGGACAGATTAACTGGATGTGGCATATTCAAAACAGGAATAAATTGAGGATGATTCTTAGGTCTAAGCAACTAAGTGACTAATGGAAATATTCATCAAGATGGAGAATACTTGGCAAGAGTTAGGGATGTATGTAAAGACATGAGTCTAGTTTGACCATTTATGTTTGAGATGTCCAAGGGAGATGTTAGACAGATTTCGGATTCAATTTGGGGATTCTGTGTTAGATACTATATTTCAAAACATGAGACAGAATGAAATTACCCCAGGAGGGAGTACAGATAGAGAAACAAAGAGAACTGAGGCATAGCAGCAGAGAAGTACAAACTAGCAAGGGAGACTTGGAAGGAGTAGAGAAAGATAAGAGAAAAATAAGAGAATGAGATACAATAAATGCCAACTGACACAATCTCTTTCAGACTCAATGTCACAGAGACTTGGATAAGACAAAAGGTTGAGAGTTGGCCATAGGATTTGGCAAGTTAAAGAACTTTGGGGAACAAAGAGGTTCTATTTCTTATTAATCTAGTATTCTTTTACCTGTTGATTTAGTCATTATTCAAGAAAAATTTACACAAAAGCCATGGTTTTCTTTTTCTTTTTTTCTTAAAAAAATTTTTTTATTGATGTATAGTTGATTTACAACATTATAAAAGTTCTAGGTGTACAACATAGTGATTTACAATTTTTAAAAACTATACTCCATTTATAGTGATTTTAAAATATTGGCTATATTCCCCATGCTGTACAATATATCCTTATAGCTTATTTATTTCATCCATAATAGTTTGTACCTCTTAATCCCCTGCCCCTATGGTTCCCCTCCCTCCTTCCCCTTCCCCACTGATAACCACTAGTTGGTTCTCTATATCTGTGAGTCTGTTTCTTTTTTGTTATATTCCCTAGTTTGTTTTATTTTTTAGATTCCACGTATAAGTGATATCATACAGTATTTGTCTTTCTCTGACTTATTTCACTAAGCATAATACCCTCCAAGTCCATCCACCTTGTTGCAAATGGTAAAATTTATATTTAATTCATGGTCTTTAAAAGGGAATATTTACAAACTTTAGGCTTTCTTGGTGCTTGAACGATACTCAGTGTCAGCAAGGCCACATCCTCACTGAGACAAACAAGTAACAAAAAAGATAATGTTAAGGTGACCCTAAGTAGTATTTATATCTCTACTTCCAGCTTTTCAGCATTTAAAAAATCCCATTACTCAGTCCACCAGTGTTTCTGATTTAATATTCTTTTATATATATGGTTCTGAATTTAGACAGAGAGACATAATCACTAGTCCATTTTCCCAAAGCAGTTCACCTCTTACTGTATCATAGCTGGCCACTGCCGTCTTTATAACTGAAGAGAAACAGGATCTACTTCTACTTTTCACCAAATGTGGTTAAGATATATAATTTAACACAGTTTTTAGTGAAGACAGTATTTTTTAGAGAAGTTTAAGTTTCACAGCAAAATTGAGAGGAAGGTACAGAGATTTTCCATATATCCTCTGCCCCCACACCTGCATAACCTCTCCACGGTTCAACAAAATTGTAATAAACGTGGTGCTATAAAACAAGAGATTAAAAAAATAAATACAGTGACAAAATGTGTGCACAGAATTTCTCCTTTTCAAAAGAGAGTATTTGTTGAAACTAAATACATGTGAGCATGCACACACACCCGCACACACACCCGCACACGCACATACACACACACATACTTTTTTCTCCTTCCCCTAAAACAAAAGAGAAGCGTCTCTCCAAAGTATATAAATTCTCTCACTTGAAAGGCAAAAACTCTGTGTGAGGGGATATACACTTCTGGCACTGTGACTAGGAAATGTGGGCCAATCTTCCCAGCATGAACAGATAGAAAAGCTAATCAAAATATATTATTAAAAAACTACTTGAAGGTATCATAAAGGCAACAAGCCACTAAAAAATTAGTAACCAAGGTCTTAAAGAAGAAAAAAACCTAGATAGAGAAGCCTGGTATATGGAAAATGCCAAAAGGCAAGTGAGAAGCTGAACAGAGCTTTCTTATGGGGCTCGGAGTGACACAGCTGAAGTCCAGAGCCTGCCAAGGAAGCAATGCCTATAAGCACACATGATAAGGACTGTACTCTAGGAGTTAGTGTGATCTAGAAATGGTCTGGTTCTCACAGGGTAAGGAAGTCCAACTTCATATCACCTAGCTTCCTACAATTAGAGTAAATTCATAGAAGGTTATTAGTTCCCTAGACATACATCCCTTTTGAGGAAGAAAAGACATAACACCAGGCTTAATTATATACAATTTATACAATTTATGTTACCCAAACTAAAATCATCAGGCATATGAGAAAAAAGAACATTCTTTTTTTAAAAAAGAAAATATGGGTAATAGAGCCAGACATATAAATGATCCAGGTGATGAAGTTATACAATAACTTTAAAATAATATCCTGAATATGTGTGATAATGGCATTGCACAATGACTTTAGCATAAGTATCCTGAATATTTTCAAAGAAATAGATATAATTGAGAGGTTCTGAAAAGAAATAGTGTTTAAGAAAATGAAAATCTGGGCACTGAAAAACACAGTAACTGAAATTAAGAATATGATGGAAAGGGGGCTTCCCTGGTGGTGCAGTGGTTGGGAGACCGCCTGCCGATGCAGAGGACGTGGGTTCGTGCCCCGGTCTGGGAGGATCCCGCATGCCGCGGAGCGGCTGGGCCTGTGGGCCATGGCCGCTGGGCCTGCGTGTCCGGAGCCTGTGCTCCACGGCAGGAGAGGCCATGGCAGTGAGAGGCCCGCGTACCACAAAAAAAAAAAAAAAAAAAAGGAATATGATGGAAAGGTTTCACAACAGATTACAAACACCTGGAAATATCATTAGTAAAATGGGAGATAAGTCAGAACACTGTGTGAAGAAGTACAGTGAATAAAAATGATGGAAAAAGCACAAAACAACATGATATACCTAGGAATTACAGTGAGGAGGGCTACCATATGTGTGACTGGAGTCCCAGAAAGAGAAGAAAGAATGGAATAGAAGCAATGTGTGGAAAGACATGGCTGCAGTTTTCTAAATCATTAGAGTTTTGAAAATAATAACTCAAGAATAACGATGAACCTCTAAAAAGAAGTGAAATTGAGTTATTTGTAGTGAGGTGGATGGACGTAGAGTCTGTCATACAGAGTGAAGTAAGTCAAAGAGAAAAATAAATACCATATGCTAACACATATATATGGAATCTACAAAAAAAAAGTGGTTCTGAAGAACCTAGGGGCAGGACAGGGATAAAGATGCAGACGTAGAGAATGGACTTGAGGACACAGGAAGGGGGAAGGGTAAGTTGGGAGGAAGTGAGAGAGTAGCATGGACATATATACACTAGCAAATGTAAAATAGATAGCTAGTGGGAAGCAGCTGCATAGCACAGGGAGATCAGCTCCGTGCTTTGTGACCACCTAGAGGGGTGGGATAAGGAGGGTGGGAGGGAGATGCAAGAGGGAGGGGATATGGGGATATATGTATACGTAGAGCTGATTCACTTTGTTATACAGCAGCAACTAACACAACATTGTAAAGCAATTTTACTCCAATAAAGATGTTAAAAAAAATAAAAAAAATAATGATGAACCTCAAGCAGGATAAATACAAAGAAAGTTGTACCTGACATAGCACAGTAAAGTTGCTGATAAGGGATAAAGATAAAAATCTTAAAAGCAAACATAGAAAAAGATAGGTTAAAGTAAAAGGAGCAAGAATTAAACAAAAACAGGCCTTTCCACATCTAAGAAGAGGATTGTATTAGTTATCTATTGGTGCATAACAAATCATCCCTAACTTAGTTGCTTAAAACAATTAGCATTTATTGTTTTATAGATTTTGTGGTAGTAATCTGGAAGCAGCATAGCTGGATGGTTCGGGCTCAAGGTCTC